ACGTCCGTCCTTACAGATTCAGGGATAAACCATTCTGACGCCGTAAATGTCTCAAATTAGTAACACAGGAAAGATCAGGTGAAATGAGAGGAATGACATCAGTAATGAGTGAACTTTGCTGAACAGAAGTCCCTGAAGTCCAAGAGGGTATACCGCTAAAACAGCTAGGCAATCAGTGCGAGAGACCAAAAAGTCTCGTTGTATAAATGTGAAGGCATCATGTCCTAACATGTTCACGCGTGTTACTGTTGTTCATCAGGTGGCTTTCGTCCACATCATTCAACACTTCTTGTTCCAATAAGTTGCGTATTCACCCCACGACATTCACACGACTTGAGCTGTAAGAAACAACAAACAAGTCTCAAAAATGATCTCGAACAGATTGATGCCCAATTCTGAATGATCGGCAGACATCCTGGTTGCTTATTCCAGATAATGCACCACGCAAAATAGGAAGGCAACACAGGGCACTGGTTTCAAAGGTTTCTGTGAAAAATACTGCATTGGTCATAGTTGGAAAACAGATCGATAAGTAAGTGGTATCCGGGCCACAGAACATTCGAAGATTGGGACCTCCCAAACGACTGGATGTGGTGGGCCTGGGAGGTCTTTCCTGGTCAAGAATCAGCAAGCACGCTGGTCCAAGTGACAATCAAGTTAGGAACCCGCCAGGAAGCCAGTTCTGTTTACAGGCTTTTTTATACAAAAAAACAAAGGTGGAAAAACTTTGGCGATTGTTGGGCGACACTGATACCTTTGTAAGAGTAGGCCTTTGATCCATTTACGTGCAACAAATCTAGTGTTAAATCAGTCCCACCCTTCAGGAGAAAATGCTCGTTAGGGAAACCAAATTACAAGTAGATTTGATCAAACTTTACCCAGATTGATACCCAGCCTAGATATGGTCATCAGTTCCAACCAACTACTTCAACCGCATCGACCACATTTTACAATGTCACCAGGCTAAGTTATCCACTTTTGACAGTTTATCAGTAGTGGTGGTTCTGCTCTGGAATCACTAATGAAGTTGTGGCGGTAGACAGCGATTCAGTGTAGCCTTGGAGCCGACTCTATCTAGCATGTTTAAAAAATCAAATCGTTCAGCTATTAACCGTTTCAGTACCTAGTTGGCATGCCATCCAATGGAAGCACGAGGGCTGAGATGCGGTCGGGCTACCCAACCCTAGACAGAAGCAGCCGAGATGCATTCTAATCACGGATTTTCCGGTCAGTATATTAGCATCTTAGCCACTGAGCTCATCGGTGTCCATGTACAAAAGAGCTTGAAAAGGTGAAATCAATCATCGCGCCGTCGTTGAACGACACTTTTAACGATGTTAGGAAGGTCGAAAGTCAGAAAGGAGCCTGGAGGCAGGATTCCTCAAACCAACATGCGGCCCGGGGTGTGAAGGAAGCAAAATGTAATCAAATATTCTTGTTTGTGCAGCTACTCAAGACTCCTTAAAAAAGTTAAGAACCATTAGCCCGAACGACCGCGCACTCCGATTATCAGCTGGTTGGATGTGCTCGTTAAAGAAACATGAGACCTACGAAGAACCCTATACGGCTCCAAAGGCATATGCTTTAGACAACAGGACTACAGGCCATCTCCTGAGCCCTCAGGCTAGACCAGCTCCGAAGCCAGGCGAGTCCAGTCATTGAATCATTGGATTCGGATGGGATCGCCACGGAAACCCCATATTCAACCGACTCAAACGAGGTCCCTTCTCCAGAGGCCAGGAAGTACCACTGTTCCCTGCGGATCTTCGATCAAATCATGTGGCACTTGGCGACATCGTTAAAAGCGGAACGGAGGCGCGGATAATGTTGTTTCAGTCCCAAAGGAAGGAACAAACGAACGAATGAAGGAACTATAATATCACTCGGTTTTTCCACTACGTTGAGTTAAAGCGCGAGAGTTGCGCTCAAAACTGGGCTATGCTGTGGACAACGTCCCCTGTTCCCAACGAAACGGCGAAATCGCAACACAATCCGGCTACGTGTTATTGGGATGTCAGTACCATCCTTGTTCAACTTCGGTCGGTTCCGCGTAAATCGCGTTAGGCGGTACTGAGCCCTAATCAGACGAAAGCAAGCCGCGGTATTATCCTCGTGCCACATTGAAACAAGGAAATATCTGACCTTCCTACCGTTGGTTTTAGGTTGATACAAATCCACCAGTTCAGCTTGTGGACAACGGCTATAACCCCTAAAAATCAACAGCAAACGTCAGGTGGGTCGAATCAACCCACTGTAACGGAATTCAACGTTGGTCACAGTCTGTAAGCAGTAGGTCTTCATGCAGTAAACCCTTGTGGAACCACTGAAACAAGTTTGGAACAATGAAGCACACATGCATGGGTGTGTTTCAAACATCAGTTGAGCAATATAAGTAGTATGTCGTGCCAAGAAAATATGCTGCAATATCTCGTATATCGTACCAATCGAAACACAGGGCAACCTTTGTGCAGCACATTCAGCTGAAGAGTAGGATCGACGACAGATACGGATGAGGCTGTCATTAACTCCAAAGTGACTCGCGAATGAGTGTAGTTGATTGATTACGTACAGTTCGGTGTTCAAGTAGAATACAAGGCTCGTGGAAACCCTTGAACTACTCTTATCTGAAGAGCCTCAAAAAACTCGCAATGGGCCATCGAGCGGTTCCCAGCGAGTTTACAGCAATTGTTATGTCAAGAAGATACAAAAGCACGTTTAAAGAGAAACCCTCATTTAAAAAAAGAGTTTCGTCCGTCCCATCAGTATTCTCTCGCTATTCTGGAGGGGAACCAAAGTACCGAGGGACTCACTTTCGAGCCCCGTAGAGATTTGATAAATCTTCTTGAGAAGTGAAACTGCAATTGACCATCTTCCATCAGAGTGACAGGGATCCGGCGTAGATTGGCTTGAGCACACGAAGGGCAAAAGTAGGTGTCCGTGCGTTTTGTCGGCCTGAGATGAGGGATGGTGAGCATGCAAGGAACACGAAAAAGGTTAGGTCAATTGTGCATCCAGAGGGATGGGATAGACAATAAACAAGGAATTACCAGTAGATTGGTGCATCTGTAAAAGGTAAATAGTCTCCTCCGAAATACTTAGGAGCCGAGTAGCATTCTTCGTTGCTGATCAAAGTGCTTTCTATGTTCTATGTCTAGTAAACTCATCTGTGCACCCTTGTTCTTAATGATGCATGGCATCAACAACTTGAAGGTATGGAAACGAGGAGTCCACTGAACCCAACTTTGATTGGCCTACTCATGACAAAAATGAAAAGAAAACGGGTGTGGCATGTAGAGCCCTCTCAAGTACACAAGTGGTTGGTCAGCGCTCAGTTTTACTCGAATTCAAAGGCAAGCGGTTTCCTTTCTCAGACTCTGGGTAACCAGGTAACTGGATGAAGTGAAGAGCCTCTCGATTTGTGCTTGAACGGACTGTACACCACAGCTTCCACAATTTTAGTTCAGCAAAACCCAAGCACTCAACGGTTCACATCTTATAGAGTAAAAGGAATCTGTAGGCTTGATAAGATTGGCCGGGAGCTAAGGGTCCCCTTAGGCAACCTGAGGAGAAACAAATATCCGTTAACGAAATGCACTCATTTGCAACCTAATTTGGTTTTGTGAGAGACTCATATGGAACCTAGCTGAATCTCTCGTTTGTGATGTTTCCAGGCAACTGAATGTGCTGCACCAGGCCGTCTCTTGTTTCATTCGCTACCAAATTAGTTTGCAAATGAGTGTATATTCGCTAATTTCGTGCAATTTGGTTTCAAGTAGAACATAAGGTTGACGGAAAACTGGGGACTGTGCCAACCTGATAAGTTCCAAGAAGGGCGAAACCGGTCATCGGTTGTCGACGAGTTTTCAGCAACCTTATGGGTAGTGTATTACAAATATCCGTTAAGTTTTCAGTCGCACCATAGTAGTACTGGCCTCCCAAGTTGAGAAGATATTGCCACGGGGGGTATTTGATCATCTATATACCGCAAGATTGCCAGTGACATGATAAAGAGCGTGAATGCACCGACCAAACGAACCGAGAGTTTTTGTATCATCAACATTTGAAAAGCCGTTTTGTTCACCTTTCCTGAAGCTCCGATGATAACGCGATTAAGACCCGGGATATCTTCTCAGTCAGATCTGGCGTCTACCCTGGTCTACGTGTCTCAATTTCACTTCCAGGGAGAATTAGATTTCCATGTTTGTTTATCTGTTGTCTACTTGGAACGCATTACGAATTTATCCAACCATGCATCAAGTGTCTTCTTCTCTAACCAATGTTCAGATTTGAACTCTTGGACGAGGCATGATCGCCAACAGAGAGGATACGCTACGTCCAACGACAGTCCAACAGCAATTCGTGGAAGCCACATCACCTAATGAGCGTAAGGTCGTTAAGTGGTTAAGGGTGGGACTCACTGACCAATTTGAATCCAACCCTGGCATCTAGACTACTTCCATCTAGGCTCGGGCAGTATCTGACAGTATCTCAGCCATCGTCATTCCTTCGGGGTGGTATGATGGCTAGGCACCGCAAGGGTGTTACAGCTAGACGACTGTTGTTACTAGCATTGCCCAATGTGGGACCATCATGCAAAGAAGGAGGGAGGAAACAGGAGTCTGGGAACTATGAGCTTTCAACCGCACAGACGGCGCTTGCCGGATAACAGTTAACATCAACGTTGTTAAGGTATGAGATTCCTTGGAAGGACGACGCCGAAATTAGTAGTCAGCAAACAGAATAGAAGCAACAACTCCCAGTTGCTGATGTTAAAGTGAACGAAATAAATCAGGACGTGGTAGAGTTGCACAACCACAGAGAGTAAACAAACGTGGGGACAATCAAAAGACGTATCGCTTACAGCTAGAACATACAAAAAGCATAGCCTCACCTGAAGCAAGATCCACACCACAGGAGGTGTGTTCGGGGGCGTGTGATTTTCATCCCACACAAGCTGACCAATTCCAAACCCAGATGGAACAGCACGTTTTGCATTGCGAAATCGGTGGTCAAGCATGCAACAACAGGAGGGGGCGATGTGTCATTCGCCGAACTAGGTTCTTGACATCTGGATATAATGAATGAGCGTTTGTTGAAGGGCGAAAGATAATATGAACAACAGCGTCGACGGAAACTTACAGAGTAAAACCTCTATTCAAACAAAACGCGTGTCAACACTACCTGAACTAAGTAACTGACAAAAATATACGATACGCCATTCATCGGAAAATAAAGTGGGACTTTGGATGAATGCGTGGGAGAAAGTCACCAAGAAACTCAAATTGTGACAACTTTAGTGGGAAATGTTATCGATAACAGTTGTTTGATTTAAATACTGGAATATACCAACACATGGGGACTGCTAAATCTGGTTTTAACGAACAGACGAAGTAGCGCCGGGCAAGTTGTTCATTTGTTAGTGCCGAAACTTCTCCAAAATGGGTTTCTCACATCTCGTACATCTCGTGAATAAAGAAAACTTCGACTGGGGCGGTAAATGATCAGTCCTGAAAAAGGGAATCCACAAGTGGTCCGACGAAAACGATTAATGGTCATCCAAATAATGGCAGTTCGAGACAGAAGCGCAGTGTGACAACAAACATAGGCCCAACCAACTTTGCAAACACATCTTAGTCGATTTGTGCCAAGCGAACAACGGCTGAGGTTGCTAACCTTATAGGCGCACGACCAAGAAGACTCACATCGCTTTTTTCGGTTAATTACCATTGGTTAGATTCCGATGAAAACTACCTGGTGCGTTCGGAGTGCTGAGGAACGGAATACCGACCCTAACGTTGTCCTATTTCCTCGAATTGTTCGCAATCACTTGACTCTACAAACAGCTAAAAAAATCCAACTAGTGCAACGCATGGGTTCAACCAAGAAATCGTTTCAATTTACAAATATCGCGGTGAACAGGTGTGGTCGTAGTGCAGTTGACAGTAACAAATGCCGGTCAAAATGTCTGGATCGATTTAGCTACATCCGTTCCAATGGCCATAATCAGGAATGAACGTGCATTGAATTTCATTTCCACTAGTGCTCACACCCTGCCTTAAGCGGTCAAAATGTCTGGATCGATTTAGCTACATCCGTTCCAATGGCCATAATCAGGAATGAACGTGCATTGAATTTCATTCCCACTAGTGCTCATACCCTGCCTTAAGCGTTTCACAGACTTGGGAAACCTGGCAGTATCTCGGCCCTCGCGCTTTATTCGGACGGCATAGTAGCCAAGCTCAGAAGGGGTTTTTACAGCTGAACGATTTTTTCTGGATTCCCTCATTAGGCAGAAATGTACGTAAGCAAAATATGATATGTATGACAAAGGGAACAATATGATACTCGGTTAGGGCTTAAAACTCCGTTTTGCGCAAAACTATATTCACCCAACTGCTGCCTGAACTCAGGAGTGAACTGCTGACGTTCCACTCCTGTACTGTCGCTCTGAATAGAAGCTCTATAAGATTGGAAAAATTCAATGGTCGGTTGAAACAGCGATTGTGCAGACCGTCTGAGACGCTAAAATCGGTTCTGCGACAAGCAAGGGTTACGGAATTCCTCTAATTGACTTATGAGAAGAAATGTTTGCCCGACACAAGAGCAAGAAAATGGAAACACCCAAAAAGTCTCCCCCTACGCGTCCAGGATGTGAGCACTGTCTGATATTTCTGAATACTTGGTAAGAATAAGCAAATGATCGAAGCATCATGTTTCCAAACTGTAAATGCGTACAGAAGCTATGTACCTGCTAAATGAGGTCTCATTTATGGAGTCATCTGAACTCAAACTTCAGCCCGTGTACTTCCTGGAACACACCGACCAAAAACGTTGCACTGCTGAAAATTCGGACGAGTTTCCTGGCCCCATACCCGATATCCAAAAGGTATGAGTGTGGTATGCTCTTCCATCACCGTCATATCTTGAGCTTTTCTGAGATTCCAGCTGCCTGATTAAAGAGAAGTACGGCAATTGATTCCAGCTGCCTGATTAGAGAGAAGTACGGCAACCCATAGCAAGTAAAAAGGATGACTGTTCACCGCACATCGACGAGGGTAATTTAGTTTTTCGTTTTCGCAACTCTTTGTCCTCCACCATTGTCTATGTAAAACTCCACCCCGAAGAGCATATGGGATGACGTATTTGAGGCAAGCTGTACTGCACTACTTTTAAACACGTCACTCTCTCATAGAATAATATTACCAGGAGGATACCTGCAGGTGTCACAGGCGTTTCTCGGAGATTCTTATACTAGAAACAAAGAGTTAATGAACCAGACTACCTGGTCCTATGTGTCAGCTCGTGCATACACTTGGCAAAAGTGGCAGTTTTGTGGTGTGGACTTCACAAATAGTAGCCAGAAGACGAGTAATCATAACAACAAACATCACACGGTCAGAGGAGCTGGTGTAGATTCTCTTAAACAATGCGTTAAAACGAGTGGGCGGAAATAGGTGGAATGGAGCACAGAGGGAATGGAATAAAAGGACGCTCACTTGAATTTTCCTCCGAATCCAAAATTTTCCGCGGCCTTCTGTTCGAAATTGTGTTCCGAAATCCAATCGTCAGCCGAAGGAATTTCATTATCCCCATCATCAGCCAGTTTCAGCTCGGCGACATCGTCATCATCACCTTCATCCTCGGTTGTCTCTGCATCACTTGCCGCCGAAGAGCTACCATCTGAGTCCTTCGAGTCAGACATGCACAATCGAGCCTGAACTCCCAGATCTGCTGGCAAAGGTACCTGTGACGGATTAGTAGGTCGAAAACCAAGTGAACTCACAATAGGTTTTTCTACAGGCTCACCCACGTGCGTCTTGTGGAGTTCATAGGTCAATGCAATTAGCCCAACATCAGTAGCGGACAGGACAGAATAGTCGCCAGTTCTTTTGGACATCTCTGAGACTTGAGGTTACAAGAGTCACAGTGGCAATGTTATTCAACCGAAAACATACCGATTTTGATGGCTTCCTTGGACGGTTCTTCCAGGTGAAGCACATAGGGCAACGATTTCAACGCGGCCCGTATTTGAGGGTCTCGTAATTCACGAATCACTTCGGTCGTGGTGTAAATTTTGGACCCGAATGTCTGCGAATAGTTATGTAGAAATAAATTTACCAACCTCAAGACGAGCCCGTTTAAGAAAAGCGACTGAATCCACAACCAAGTGTGGAATGGGATTGCCCAAATGGACCGCCATGTTTGACTGGTCAAACGTCCTGGAAAGAAACAATCCAATTTATGAAAGATATGTCAGGGTGTTAGATAGTATAGAACGCTGCACATTCCTCCTCGTTCATGTGTGGCGCTCACATTTCCTCTACGCCGCCATTCCGGCGCTGCTGTTTTTATCACCGCAACGACCGTTACATAAGCAGCTTCCATATAAAGTACCAAGGTGTGAAAAATTCGGTTGCTAAACTCGTGGTGGTACTAGATGCGGCCTACAATGATCACCAATCTCCATCTGCAATGAAATCAATCGTTCAGCTGTAGCACCCTCCCGGTGCCTAGCTGCCATGCCACAAGAGGGCTGGGATACTGCCAGGTCGCCCAAGCCTAGACGGGGGAAGTCGAGTGGTCGAGGTCGGGTTCGAACCACGGATCTTCCTGTCAGTAAATTCGCGCTCTAACCACTTGGGCCATCTCACTGGACCATTGTTAACTAAATGACACCATGCGGATGCATTCTGCGCTTTGTTTATTATTAAATCAACCCCCAGTCGATCAGAAATGCAGGGTGTTGGGGTTAACTGGTAGGATGTTGTCGTATGAGTCAGAAAACGCTTGGTTTAAATGTCAGGCTAAACACTGTTCTTCACTGCTATCGTGTATTCACTTTATAAACGTTGTATTAAATTGTAGTTCCACGTCTGAAGTTGTGATTTAATGTATTCCGTTGTATTCTGTTTATGCGTATTTCGTGCCTCCATCTGCAGAAGCCTAGCACTAGTTCGAATGTTCCTGAATTCTAAACCTACAAAGGTGCTAGAGAAGGTTGCCTGTGATCAGTGGTGCAGACCATCCGCTGTTGCTCATTTCTTCCGATCAGGGCTTCATGGTTTAATTGCATCGAAGCATCCAAGTTCAACGCCACTTTGGTGTCGATGATGACGAACATTCTCACCGGTTAATGAAGTTAGTGCGTCCAAAAAGCTCAGAAGATAGATGACGCTTAGATCGTTGGGATGAACACTTCCAAAATAATTCTGCTGGACATGTGCAATTGCTTAATCGGATTTCAACCCGCAACCGAGCCCCGAACAATGAAATTGGAAGAACTGACGGCTTCGGAAGTGGGCGATTACATTCCCTCTCCCTAAGCGTTATCGAGCTGATGGTCCCGATGAACTCCAAGGCGATCTGTTTAGGGGTAGTAGAAAGCCCTTTAGTCAGTATCTGTCTAACATATCTGCCCCAATCTGGATAAAAGAACCAACCGGGGTGAGTCGACAGTACTGTCCACATTCAGAAAAAATTGTCGCCAAATGCGGCAAGCAGAGGAACTAGCTTGATTCTGATTGAAACTAAACCCTTTGCGCAGCCCACTTTACGTCGTCGTACGAGGAACATAGAATGTGACACTCACAGGGCCTCTCACAGCAGATTGGTCAGTGGACAGAATTCTGACAAACATAGTCTACTAGTCCTCTAGGTTTGGGATCAGAACGTGTGTGGCTAGTTGCTCAACTAACAATACTCTCATGCCACATCGGCCGTCGCGTGGTGCCATCAACCGGGTCGCCTTACCTGCTGCATACAGTAGGGCGGGTAAGCGAAAACATGCTACTGCTGACACCTCCCTTCTT